CAATTTACCAAAACCGGTAGAATACTTTAAATTTTATTTAGGAGATGTCCCAGAAAGCAAAAAACCAAAATTACCACCTGGTGTTACTTATGAAAAAGCGATAACCGATTATCTTCGTGAAATGGGTAACCTATATTTTCTTTTTATTTAATGATAAAATATTATCAAATTATTAACATTAACTTTTTTATAGGAAATGTATGATGATATTAGTTTCCTATATATTGTATATTGTAAATTGTATATTGCGATTTTATTTTACATTGCATTTTAATTTAATTACTATCTTGTTACGGTAGACCATGAAGCAGGAGATAGATAAACATTGGCCTGGAATAGATTTTTATAGAAATGTTCGACTTGTATTTACTGTACCAGCTGGTAATTTGTTATCATATTTTTAAATGTATATACATACCTAAATATGAATATTAATTCTTTTCTTTATTTGTTTTTTTTTTTTTTAGAATTCAATGAGAATGCGAAAACAATTATGAGAAGATGTATATACGGTGCTGGTTTGATCAATAATATCGGCACATTAAATCTTCAATTTACTACTGAACGTAAGGAAAAAATTTAGTACGCGTATCAACATGTCATGTGAAATTAGTCTAATTGAATACGTTTAAATTTTAGCGGAGGCTGCTTCAATTCATTGTATGAATAAATTAAAAGAACTAAATTTAACTACAGGAAGTATGTAACCGATTTTTTTTTATCATAACTACGTTATAAATAAGATATTAATATTATTTTTGGTGATCAATTTAGCAACATATTTAGTTGTCGATTGTGGCGGAGGAACCGTGGATTTAACAATTAGAAGATTATTATCAGATGATCGAATTGCGGAAACAACCGAACGCACGGGTGATTTTTGTGGTGGTACTTATGTTGACGACGAATTCCTAAAAGTCTTAGAAGATAAAGTAGGTAGATCTGCAATGAGAATGCTAAAAGAGAAACACTATGATCAAGTGAATTATTTGATACACAAATATTTTTGCCCTGAAATTAAAATCCCGTTCACCGGTAAAAGGTCCGAGTTCAAGGACATTGAACTGGACATTGAAAAAAAATGTCCAGCGCTTAAGCAATACATCACTGGTCCAGAAAGAGATAAATTAGAAGAAGAAGAATGGATTATTGATCTTGACTTTGATACTGTAAAATCCCTTTTCGATCCAGTAATTGCAAGAATTTTAAGGTTAATTGGTGACCAATTGTCAAAATGTTCAGATTGTTCTGTGCTATTTTTAGTGGGAGGTTTTGGTGAATCGAAGTACCTACAATATAGAATTAAAGAAAGGTTTGAAAATCAAGTGATGGTAGCAAGTACGTTTATTAATACTCGCCTTCTTTTTTAAAAAAAAATTATAAATTAAGAAATAACCATTATATAAATTTTTATTTATAAGTTCCACCTAATCCCGCTGCTGCAATTGTGATGGGTGCATGTGAATATGGACTTGATATGAAGATTGTGACCACAAGAGTATTAAAATGGACTTATGGAGTTCAAATTTCTTCACTTTGGGTAATTAAATTATTTGAAATTATTATACAATTCATCAATCCTTAATAACATAATTTTTTAAAATATATTACATATTAGAAACCTGGTGATCCACCATCACGCAAGAAATCTAATGGCCGGATAGATAAGTTTCTGTTATTAGCTAGAAAAGGGACAGAAGTGGATGTTAATGAAGAATTCTCTGATAGTATGGTACCAATTTATCCGGATCAAACTTCTATATTGTTTCAATTTTTTTATACTACAAACTATAGTGCAACGTATTGTGATGAACCTGGAATGAAAAAATTGGGTAGTTTTGAGGTTGATGGTCTACCCACTGAACAATCAGGATTAGATCGTTCAGTATTGATAACATTACGTTTTGCATCAATGGAAAATACTGTTGCAACAGCAAAGAGTGAACATAGTGGTGAAGTCTATCGTACAGTATTTACTAACAAAGAATGATATATTATTTTATATTGACTTTACATATATTATTATCGCAGATTTGCGATATTATACTAAATGTTGCGGTATTTATAAACAATATATTTTATTTAGGTAGTTATTTATTAATAAATGAATTAAATAATATTGATATGTATCTTCTAAAATATAAATAAATGTCATAAAAATATCGAAATATAGTTAATTTTAAAATTCTTACTGAATGAATAGTTATATTTGTATATGTTATGTTAGCGTGACTTTCTCATCCCCGAATACGATATCTTTTTTTCAATTAATTTCATCTAGAAAGGGCTTTTTTAAAATAATTTTTTATTATTTCTGTATTTGATTTGCTCACACTTTCGGAGTTTACATAAACAAAATATTTAAACATTATACCTATTATGTATTTTTTTTTCTTTTTATGCTTCGTATTAAAATTAAACAGGATTATTATAAGTTCGAGTTACTAATCTGTAAAAGATATCGCTGCTTTCATGATTTACCATAATTTGCTTCATTATATTTGACACTTGTAGTTTTTTATTCGTTTATTAAAACAATGTACACCAACATCTTACCATAATAATGTCTCACATAAGTAGAAGAATTAACAACATTTGTATGGTGTCTTTATGATCTTTTGCGAAATAATTTCGGAATTTTAATTAAACTGTGTAATATGTCATACGTAAACACAACCCATTGCAGCTTAACTTAACATTAAAACCAATGTTATGTGTATCGTATACACGATTATTGAGAAACATCGGTTTTCCGTTAAACACGTGTGGTAAAATGGTATTTGTAAACCTGAATCAAGAAAGATGCTTAAATTGGCAAAGTTGAAATTGATATAACATTGTGACCTGTAAATGTCTGCCGAATTGTGATAATTTTAGAGAAATTTAAACACTTATAAATCGCACTAGTGGTGTTGAACACCAAATTATTTTTTTATAATTTTGTTGTAAATATTTAAGTTAGGGTTAAAAATTAGAATAATTTAAAAGCTATAAACTAAAACTTAAAGCTAACTAGTGGCATTTGAACCTACTATGGTGAAGATATAACATTAAAAAATCATTCGAGTGGTATTTAAATTGTTTCTTACGTATAGATTCTGAACGGGGCAACTCTAACGAAACGTTTATAGTAATAATTAGGATAGTTATTATAAAATAGTAAACATTTGCATTGCATTCGTGACGGTATTAGTTACGCAATAATATCCAAGATATGTATTTCACTCAAATAAATAAAGATTATATCGACATTACTAACATCAATATTACAATA